CACATCCTTTTATAGGAGAGGGTAATCAACCTCAATCTTTGGATTTCAATCCTAACCATCGAACCACTCATCTAAGGCTCAATATGAGCCAACTATAACGTCTGCCATTTCAAATTCTACGGTTCAGATCAGAGCGTCGAAGTCATTCGTGCCTATACATTTCAAGAAACCCCATGCAACACTCATCATTACTCATTAAATGCTACAATGGTTGCGTGTGTGGAATCTATTCCAACTGTCTTTTCTTGAAAACATATTAAACGGCAAATCATTTGGGCACAATAATAAAAGACGCCTCGTGTTCCTAACGCACTACAAAATATGCCTCTTCAAAATTACCTCTACAATTTCAGTGAATTGTAGAGGTGTACATATCAGCTTCGACATTAATAAATTCGACAATACCTCAGATGTAAGCCCTCTCGGAGCCAACAGCTTCAGAGTCACACAGCTTTGGACAATACCCTCTATAAGTACCCCAAATGATTCATAATAGTTTTATTTTCAAATTCTAATTGTAATATAAATAGTTATATTTAGACTTAGGGGTTTATTGTGATATCCAATTAATTAGCCCTCCAACAATTTTTTTTTTTAATACAAGTCCATGCAATATATGAATGATCATACAGAGACTTAAGGGACAACTATTACGCCTTGACACCGAGGCTCCAAATCGAAGACCATGTCACAGATCATGTGGAGTGTAAAGTCAACAATCGGTTAGAAAACAAGTCAAAACAAGAGCCGATGCTCCCTATCCCAAAGTTCCTCACACTTTTGGCCGAAGTTTCCTCTGAATTAGCCGAAGTCGTCTCTACATCCGAAACTCCCTTTGGTTGAAGCCCTTACTATCTTTTAAAGGATTTGTAGGCAATCTTTAGAAATGATTGATATTAGATTTGCAGTAATGAATGTCAAAACTATCAACCTAGGACATATGATGGCTGACCTATTGTCAATGTATTAAATACTTAGTAGATTGAGCAATGTGACTTCAACCTGAGAGATGTTGCCACGTGGTTCTAATCCAAGGCAACCACTTCAGTTGGAACCCTATAAATGAGGAATTCTTGTAATATTTGTTATTAATGCAACTCTTTACATTTAAAGCTATCCTCTCTCTTCTTTTATGCTTATTTCATACTCTTATTTGTTGGAGTTTATACCATCTTCCTTTAGTAGAGTTGCTAGTGATTGATTATTATTATGCAACTATCTTTAAATATGTTGTCGGTTGTCTGAATTTTTTTTATCTCATGTCATAGAGCATTTCCCACGTTCATATGTGGTAACTTCCTTCAACAAAGTCCCTGATCAAAATGTCTTAGAGCACAAGTATACCCAACATCTTTTGTCCACATACCACTACAAAAAGCGGGGCCAACACCAACAACAATAATAAGCGAGAATTTGTAAAATTCAAAAAAGAAATTGCTAAATTTTATGATATTATTTGTGGATTTCTTTTATATTTATAATGCTGCCACTTGTTAATTGTATTTTTATCTCCTACTTGAAATTTTGCCTTCATTTTATATTGCATCCTTATATATATATATTTTTTACTATTTAAATTCATGCTACTCAATTTTACTCTACTAAACATTTTAGTAAGTGCATTGTTTGTTAACACGTCTCTAATTTTCCATTTATTTGTTAATTACAATATATATATATATATATATATATATACGTTTCTCCCTATCTAAGCAAAAATTCTGATCGAAAATCTGAATTTCTAGAAACAGCATCTGAGGAAAGTAATCAGACGATGAACAGTAAAAGAAAGAATTTCTACAGCATGCTATTCAAGGTAGAATAACTAGTGCTTCATCAAAGGAAAAAGCATATTTTTTTTTGGTTTCTTCCAAGACAAGTTATCCCACAGTTTATTCACATAAATAGATCTCTTGTACAGGGGAAACTCCATCTCCTCTCCTTTTGCCAATCTACTTCAAAGTATTTCATCAATGGCACCAGCCAACTTCCTTCTTGTTTTCCTTCTTTTATCTCCCCTTCAAGTTTTCTCAGGGAGAATTGCTTTAGAAAATCAAAATAACACCCCTGAGGCAATGATATTTGAAGCCTGTGACAAAATCGAGAATCAGAACGCATGTTTATCGAACTTACATTCCCGGCTCGAAGACGGTGCTGGTCGCCGTACGCCAACCTCAGTTTTCCAAGCCGCCCTCGAGAACACGCTCGATGAAGCCCGATCAGCCTTTGACACGCTTACAAAAGTCACCAGTTTATCGATAAGTTATCGCGAACAAATAGCCATCGACGACTGCAAGGAGCTCCTTGATTTCTCGGTTTCTGAATTGGCATGGTCATTAGATGAAATGAAAAGGGTTCGAGTTGGTTACAAGAATGACCACTCTGAAGGAAACCTAAAGGCTTGGCTAAGTGCAGCACTAAGCAACCAAGATACATGCCTTGAAGGGTTCGAAGGTACCGACCGGCACCTAGAAAACTTCGTAAGGGGAAGTCTGAAACAAGTAACACAACTCATTGGTAATGTCTTAACTTTGTATACTCAAATGCATAGTCTACCTTTCAAGCCACCTAGAAATAGTACGGCTACAGAACACGAAACCACGGATTTCCCCAGGTGGATGACGGATGGCGATAAGGAGCTTCTTGTTTCCAGGCCAAACGGAATACACGCAGATGCAATAGTGGCTTTGGATGGAACGGGGCGTTATCGTTCAATAAATCAAGCTGTTTTTGACGCTCCAAGTTACAGTAATAGGAGGTATGTTATCTATGTGAAGAAGGGAGTTTACAAGGAGAATATCGATATGAAGAAGAAGAAGACGAATATCATGCTTGTAGGTGATGGAATAGGGGCAACTGTCATAACTGGTAGTCGTAATTTCATGCAAGGATGGACTTCATTTCGGACGGCTACTGTTGGTAAATACTTGATCAACCGTTAATTTGTCTGATTCTGCCTATTCTGCTAATTATGAACATTCTCTCGATTTTTTTAATGATTTATAAGAGAACTAAATTCTTAGAAAGTATAGCACACAAATTATCTCATCAAACATGCTATATTGCCAAACAATTTTGCACCTTCCTTGACAAAATGTCATCATTGACCAGTCTAAAAAATAGTCAACACAGCCATCCAATGACTTGTTGCCACAGCTGATTCTGTCATCCATGATGTTAAAAACATCTGGCAAAGTAGATTAATTCTTATCTCATTGCATTTTTTGTTTTTTTCAGCTGTTTCTGGCAAGGGATTTATCGCAAGGGATATAACAATTCGTAACACAGCCGGGCCTCAAAACCACCAGGCAGTGGCACTGCGTGTAGATTCTGACCAGTCGGCCTTCTACCGATGCAGCATGGAGGGATACCAAGACACTCTTTATGCCCACTCTCTACGCCAATTTTATCGCGAATGCAGCGTCTATGGAACCATAGACTTCATTTTTGGCAATGGTGCTGCTGTCCTTCAAAACTGCAAGATTTTCACAAGGGAACCGTTGCCATTACAAAAGGTGACAATCACAGCACAAGGCAGAAAAGATCCTCATCAAAGCACTGGATTTTCAATCCAAGATAGCTACGTTTACGCCACCAAGCCAGCTTATTTAGGCAGGCCCTGGAAACAATATTCCAGGACAGTTTTCATGAGGACTTATATGAGTGCGCAGGTGCAGCCCAGAGGGTGGCTTGAATGGTATGGGAATTTCGCATTGAGTACTTTGTGGTATGGTGAATACAAAAACTACGGCCCCGGGGCATTGACTTCAGGCCGTATCCGGTGGCCGGGATATCATATAATTACCGATGCTTCTGTGGCCAGTTTTTTCACTGTTAGACGATTCATTGATGGACTGTCATGGCTGCCGGCCACTGGTATCAAGTTTTCCTCTGGCTTAACAAATTAACCCCCTAATTTGATATGAAAGTTGCTGATATTGTATTCATTATACTTAAAGTGATTTATATACATATGATCATAAGACATTTTATCGTAGAAATGGTAATTTAAATGCAAGTTTAATTTTTCTGTCTTCGAGTTGTACTTTTTGTTGGGTTTTGTGTCCATAGAGTATATTTTGCTATGATAAAATAATTTTATAATAAATAAATTTTAATTTTATTTATTTATTGCATCATTTATTATTGAGCATGCGAATTAAAGTGCCTATGATCACTTGTGATAATATAAGTCGGGTACTTGCGTTGAGAAAAACAGTGTGACACAACTTATATTTTGATCATAAATAATTTGTTTATAACCAATGTATAAGGCAACACCTTGTACTGGAAGATTGTAGTGTTGACTGATTATATATAGTTTTGTGATTTATCCTTATCACAAAAATAGTTAAAGGTTGTACTAGTACACTTAGAGTGTATTGAATGGACCACGTGTCAAGTTTAATTCTATAGTATGACCGTGCGAATAATTAAATTCCACTTAACCGTTGTGTATTTCATCTAAATCCTTGATAGGGTTATGTATATTTTTTTTGTGATTTTAATGGTTCTTTAATTCATCAATAAATAAGATCAATTTGATTGGTCAAATATCTCAATAAGTTGGGAACTTGAAAATGAATGAAGTAGAGAACATAAATTCATGTTGGAAACCATCACTCTAAAAAATGAGTAGAGTGACTGCTTAAGTATTTTTTATTGAATGATTAAAATCTGAGTTTAGTGTTAAGTGACGGCTAAATTTCGACATTTGTGATTAGTTTACATGATCGTCGAAAAAATGATACTTAAGTTAGTGAGAATAATTAGAAAGCCAAAACGGTCATTTATGCTCATGCCTACTATCGGATCTCAAATGGGAATAAAATACCTATACGACATATTGGAGAAAAGTATTACAGACTTATTGGCTTCTGTAATCTTATATATTTCAAAAGTTCGATCTTTTGCCTTTATTGGAAAAAGCAAATGCTAATAATTAGATTGGATGATCTAGGATCGACTGACGTGATCTAATTATTGGAGCTTGGATAATATATGTCCAATCAGGTTCCCGTGGTAGCTTTATAAAATGTTGGAACTTAATTACGGTAATTATAATAGTTTTGGACATAATTGTAATTACAACAAAAGTTTTGTACTTAGTTGTAATTACTATGAAAGTTGTAAACATAATTATAATTTAATTGAAGTTATAGGATTACACATGTAATTAAATGTAAACTAATTGGATTTGGACTTTAATTGAAACTTCTCTATAGATTTTAATTAAAACTCTTATTTAAATGTGGAATTATTATTGTACAATGATCATCTCTAAAAATAGGGATTAGATGGAAATTAGACATCTTATAGAATTGTACAAAAATCACAATACTTAATTCCATAATGCTCAAATTTGGAGAGAAAAAAGGAAGAAAATAATTATTTTTTTATCTTATTCAATTGTCCAGTTTAAGAATTAGTTTCTTGATTTAATTAAAAAAAGGTGCCCACCCAACAGTGTAGTTTTGACTTTGGAAAATGCCATAGGAGTTGGAGGTTTGAAATATCAAACTCTTAGAATTAAAAAGTTGGAAGTTCGTGATCCAAAAGACTGGAAGCTCATAATTTAGAGTTTATTCAAGAATAAACAATCGAATTTAAGTAAAAGTCCGATCCTTTGTTTTTGAAGGAACATACATGTAAATATCTAGACGATCTTATTTATTAAATTAATGAAATTTTTAATTTCTGGATGATTCCGCTTTCGCATTTCAATAACTGGTATTAGAGCAATTTAGATCATTCACATGCTTATTATTTCTAAACCTTGATTGCATGTTCTAGTTGAGTGATGTTTAGAAATAATTTATTAAATGTTGATTGAATGATTTAATTTGTTTAAACTATGAACCAATTATTTGTGCCCAATTTTTGATGTGATTTGTTATTTCGAGTATGTAACAAGATAGGTAAATTAGGACTCCATCATCTTAATTAACTTTTTGTTCAATTAGATTCAAAATTGTGAGTCCATGGGGTATAGGAACTATTTAATTCTTTTAATTTTATATCTTGTAAATTGATTGAAAATTGAAGACGAAATGGCAAAGAAGAATTTGAAGAACATAAAAAGAAAAAAAAATTACAACAGCTGTTGCTTTCTGCTCAACATGCTATTGAGCAAGGTAGCAGCTTGCTGCCGCCAGATGCAGAAGGCTACGCCCGGACCATGTGTCACACGGTTTCGGGTTGACTTTTAGTCTAGGTTCGTTTTTTGGAATCTGGTCAGATCTAATTAACTCAAATTCAAAACTAATTAATTTTTAGTTATGGTAATAGAGTCCTATTGTTGTATGGTTGCTACAACTGGATGCTTGAA